ATTATAGAGACAAGATCAAACTGAAACACATACCATTAGCTTCCAACTTGTGAGAAGACACGAGAGAAAATATGATATATTGATATTGTGTGTTCAATACAATACAAGAGGTCCTTATTTATAGCTATACTATAAAAAGACATACTAATCCTATTCCAATGTGGGACAAGACCACATTATGTACATATCTAACACTCCCCTCAAGCCAGTGCATACACATCAAATGTACCGAGCTTGTTACACATGTAACTAATACGAGAACCAGTAAGAGACTTAGTGAAAATATCTGCTAGTTGATCATTCGACTTTACAAACTTTGTAACAATATCTCTTGAAAGTATTTTTTCTCTAACAAAGTGACAGTCGATCTCAATGTGTTTAGTCCTCTCATGGAACATCTGATTTGATGCAATATGAAGAGCAGCTTGGTTATCACACACTAGTTTCATCCTGCTGATTTCTCCGAACTTTAACTCCTTGAGCAACTACTTGACCCAAACTAACTCACACGTTGCCATAGTCATGGCCCGATATTCCGCTTCGGCGCTAGATCAAGCAACTACATTTTGTTTCTTGCTCTTCCACGAGACCAAATTACCTCCTACTAGAACACAATATCCAGATATAGATCGTCTATCAGAAGGTGATCCTGCCCAATCAGCATCTGTGTACCCAACAATCTGCTCGTGGCCTCGATTCTCGAATAGTAATCCTTTGCCTGGAGCTGACTTTATATACCGAAAAATACGAACAACTGCATCTCAGTGACTATCACAGGGAGAATCCATAAACTGACTTACAACACTCACCAGAAAAGAAATGTCAGGTCTAGTCACTGTGAGGTAATTCAATTTTCCAACCAACCTCCTATATCTCGTAGGGTCTCTAAGAGGCTCCCCCTGTCCAGGCAGAAGCTTAGCATTCGGATCCATAGGAGAGACAATAGGTCTGCAACCCATCATTCCAGTCTCCTCAAGAATGTCTAAGGCGTACTTCCGCTGTGAAATAACAATACCTGAGCTAGACTGAGCAACCTCAATACCTAGAAAATACTTCAGTCTGCCCAGATCCTTAGTTTGGAAGTGCTGAAAGAAATGTTGCTTCATATTAGTAATACCATCCTGATCGTTGCCAGTAATAACAATATCATCAACATAAACCACCAGATAAATACACAGATTCGGAGCAGAATGCTGATAAAACATAGAGTGATCAGCCTCACTACGAGTCATGCCAAACTCCTGAATAATTCTGCTGAACTTACCAAACCAGCCTCACTACGAGAAAAGCATTCTTAATGTCTAACTGATAAAGAGGCCAACGACGTACAACAGCCATGGACAAAAAAAGACGAACAGATGCTACTTTAGCCACGGGAGAGAAAGTATCACTATAATCAAGCCCAAAAATATGAGTATATCCTTTTGCAACAAGACGAGCCTTAAGCCGATTAATCTGGTCATCCGAGACGACTTTGACTGCATAAACCCAACGACAACCAACAGTAGACTTACCTGCAGGAAGAGGAACAAGCTCCCAACTGCCACTCGCATGTAAAGTAGACATATCGTCAATCATAGCCTGTCGCCATCCAGGATGAGATAGTGCCTCACCTGTAGACTTAGGAATAGAAACAGTGGACAAAGAAGATATAAAAGCATAATAAGGTGACGACAGACGATGATAACTTAGACCAACATAGTGGGGATTAGGATTAAGTGTGGACCGTACACCTTTGCGGAGTGATATTGGTTGACTAAGAGGAGACAAGTCCGTAGTAGGTGCAAAATCTGATGCCGGGCGTGAATCACCTGGGCCTGATGCTGGATGTGGACGGCGATGATAAGTCAAGAGTGGCAGAGCTGCAGAAGGTTGAACTGGATTATGTGGAGGAATTTGACCTATAGGTGGTGGAACTGGAGCTATAGATGGTGGAACGGGAGCTATATGTGGTGGAGCTGGAGATGTAGAGGAAAATAGATGGGAGATAGTGACTGAATTTCCAAAAGAAGAGACTTGTAGTACCTCAGAAATATCTAAGTGATTACCTGGACCTGTGTAGTATGATTGAGTTTCAAAGAAGGTAACATTAGCGGACATAAGGTACTGCTGGAGGTCAGGAGAATAGCATCGATACCGTTTTGTGTTCTCGAGAAACCAAGAAATACACACTTAAGAGCACGAGGAGCTAATTTATCTATTCATGGAGTAAGGTTATGGACAAAACAAGTGCTTCCAAAGACACGGGGTGGAAGAGAGAATAAAGGTAAATGGGGAAACATAACATAGAATGGAACTTGGTTCTGGATAGCTGAAGATGACATACGATTAATAAGATAGCAAGATGTAAGAACTGCATCCTCCCAAAAACGCAACGGAGCATGAGATCGTATGAGTAGGGTACGAACAGTTTCAATAAGATGTCTATTCTTTCTTTCAGCTACCCCATTTTGTTGAGATGCGTACGGACAAGATGTTTGATGAATAATCCCATGAGATTTCATAAACTGCTGAAATGGGAAAGACAAATACTCTCGGGCATTATCACTACGAAATGTGCGAATAGAAACCCCAAATTGATTTTGAATTTCAGCGTGAAAGGTCTGGAAAATAGAAAATAACTCAGATCGATTTTTTATAAAAAATATTCAGGTGCACCTAGAATAGTTATCAATGAAACTAACAAAGTAGCGAAATCCTAAAGTAAAACTGACCCGATTAGGACCCCAAACATCTGAATGGACTAAAGTAAAAGGTGACTCTGCTCGATTATCAATACGTCGAGGAAAATGAAAGCGGATATGCTTACCGAGCTGACAAGACTCACACTCTAGAGCTGACAAGTGAGATAAACCAGATACCATTTTCTGAAGTTTTGACAAACTAAGATGTCCCAACCGTTTATGTAATAAATCTGGTGAATCAGTAACATGACAAGTTGTTGAAGGAAGACAAGATGTGAGTCCATGTGATTTAGCAAGGATAAGGTAATAAGTCCATTTGATTCACGCTCGGTACCAATGATCCGCCCTGTACTGCGTTCCTGTATAAAAACATGGTCATCAAGAAATAAAACGGCACATTTAAGTGATTTGGCTAGGCGACTAACAACTATGAGATTAAAAGGACTATTAGGGACATAAAGAACTGAATCTAAAGGTAAGGAAGAAATTGGACTTGCTTGACCTATTGCAGTTGCTATAGTATCAGAGCTATCGTGAGAGATTTATCGTTATGCATAAATTCCAGCAATTCCAATAAGTGAAATCAGTCACCAGAACCCTTTTTTCCGGCGACTTTTCAAAGTTGTTTTGCGTCTGCTTTGTCTCGGTTAGTGTTGTGCAAAATCCAACACTACCACAAGAGTAGTCACTGTCCGGCGACCAAACCCCAGTGAAAATCTCCGACGGTAGTGCAGCGGTCGGAAGAAAATTTTCCGGCGAACTTCTGACGTCGCGTGGGCCACCTTGCGGCCTTTTTTTTTACGATGATTCTTCAAGACAGATTGTTCCCCTTGCAATTCCGAGCCTACCCATTCAGGTTCACCAAATTCCGACCACTTTTATATTTTTCCGACGTGAACACTGATTTCAGAAGTGGACTTCCGACCATTTTTTGAAAAAGTTTCTTCAGAACAGTTGGGTCGTCTGGTAATTCCGATCCTACCCCTACTGTTTTTTATTTCATTCCGACCACTTTGAATTCTTTCCGGCTGCTACAGTAATATTCCGAGAGCTACAGTATTTCTAGCACTGTTTTGCCCTAAACCATGGTGGTCGTGTTCGATCTTGCTTCGACTTAAGCCCTAGTGTGTTCTTCAATTTCTTCAGCAACAAAATGAAGCTCGTCAGATTTTTGATGAAGTTGAACAACGAGACCGTATCAATTGAGCTCTGATACCATGTGAGAAGGCACGAGAGAAAATATGATATATTGATATTGTGTGTTCAATACAATACAAGAGGCCCTTATTTATAGCTATACTATACAAGGACATACTACTCATATTCCAATGTGGGACAAGACTACATTATGTATATATCTAACACAACTTAACTTCAAATTTAAATACAAATTCCATGGCTGAATTTTCTTTCTAGGTCAGAAGGCACACTGAGCTAAGTTGATGGAATAGAAACAATGTAAAAAACAAAACATGCAGCAGTTATACTGCTTGGTATTCCTTTGTTTAGAATGAACTAAAGATAAAGCCTAGCCTGCATTAGTATCCAAATAATTAGGTTCGAAAATAAACACTCTATACTAAGATTTGATATCAACATATACTTGGAAAACTATATCAATCCTCAAAGGGATGGCCTAGTGGTTGAAGCATGGGAATAACCACCCAGAGATCCCCCAAGGTTCGAATCCCAGTTACGACACTTGGTGCGAGCACATCTGCTCCAACCTTAGTGAGCAAGGTGCAGACATGTGCCTGTGATTTGGACAGGCTGCCGAGTGAATTTATCAAGGTGTGCACAAGATGACTTGGACACTAGGTCATCAAATAATAAAAAGGTATACAACTATCTTCTCTGTCACAAACTTTTCCCCAGCTTTAAAGTAACATAACTTTGTTCCTCAACTTTTCTCCATAAGGTAGGGATATGGCTGCGTACACATTACACTCCCCAGACCCCACCATATGGAATTATAGTGAGTTTGTTGTTGTATTTTCCGAAACATAAGAGTTTAGTTGGGTACAGGTGACATGTGATAATTAGTATTAGAGATTGCAAACATTGTTTTTGTATCAATTAAAACAAGTGTATAAAGTAAGTGTTATGTTATACGGAAATGAGTTTTCTCCTAGGAATTCATTTTTCATTTTTGGTAAAATTGCTTTCACTGAAAAGCATTTCGGGTCACTAAACATTGATTTTAATCGTGAAAAGCAATTTTTCTCGGTCTTATCAATACACACTCAGTCCACATATAACACTGAAGTTCAACAACCCACAAACATCGCAATAGGTAGTAGTACCAAACAAAAAGGATTGGGAATGGGGAAAAACTCTTCCTTTTCAACAAATTTATTGTGCTACTCAAATTCTGTGCAAAAACAACAGCACTAAACGCCTCTAAAGCCGATTCTAGTACAGTGTAACAAAGTTTTAACGTAGCATTCAACAAAAACCGAATCTTTTAGTTACTTCATCCTCCTAATCTACCTAAAAAGGGAATTAATGCAGAAAAGCTTCCAATACAATCTATCACGTTTCTTAATTACAGATTACCTAAATCATAACATTAACTGTACTCAATAAAATCAAACATCTTCATTTAACTGATGGCATCGAATTTGCAAAATACTCTTAGATCTATCACTGGAGTTATACGCTGCTCAACAGACAAAGTTAGATCCAGCAAAATTCAATCGAAATACAACACAAAAATAAAGCAAATAATATCAAAAGTCATTTGAAAAATTCAATACCTCACAGGAAACAATCGGTAGATATTAGATCGATCCATAACAAAGCTGATTTACTTGAAACAATTAAAATTCACCGCAGTCTCCGATTCAGTTGATGCAAGGCGGGACCAAAATTTCGTCATAAACAACATGTATATCTATCGATACGCCACCGTCACCGTCAGCTGACGTCATTGTCGCCGGCGAGGCAGGTCCCGACCTGCACCAAGCGAATGAGAGACCGCCGCGATAAATGCAAACTGAACATACGTGTATCTATTTACTGTACATATACAGATCTGAGATTGTATGCGTGAGAGAGAAAGGCCTATCTATAGCTAGAGAGAGAAAGTGAGAGAATAGTTAGAGAGCGTAAGGCAATGGAGGAGGTCATTTTATAGAGGGAACAGACGAATAATATACTGACAAGTGGAGTCTGGAGGTTGTTGAAATTTTTTATTTTGTGTCTCGTACAAACTGACACTATAACTTTTTTGTTTCACAATTTTATGAATCCAAAAATATAAGATTAGGGTCTACAAATTTATGAGACAAAAAATAGTAATAAAATAAAACTTGTGGTGAAAACGTTAGAAAATATCAGGGAGGAGGTAAATCAAGGGTTTAAAATCGTGACCGAAGTTGATGTAATTCGGGCTTGGATTTGGATATAATTACGGGAGAATGCCACTAGTGTGACAGTAATTTCAATTTACAGTCCGTGCACGTGCGCGTGAAGTAAAACCACAACGGTCAATTATTCTGTATAACTGGAAAAGAACTGGATTTTGTAAATCTAATACTCCTAGTAAGTTATTTAAAGGAAATAGTGTACTTACCAGATTTTCACCCATAGATTACAACAGTCAATATCACGTCAGTTAATATTGATTGGTTACAGGAAGCGTGTATTCTCTAAGATCCTTTCTCATTTACAGATTTTATTTTTTATCTTTCCATTCCTTTTTATTGCTCCCATTATTTTCAGGGATATAATCAAACATAAAAATGATAATTTATATAAAGATATAAGTTTTAACATGAATAATAAAGGTGAATATATCTTTTTAGATTTCTTCCTTCATTTCAATTACGGTTGTAGTTGATTACAAAATATCCCAAACCAGTGGCGGATCACCCCTTTAGGAAGGGGTGGCATGGACCTGCTAAGATGATAATTTTTTTATATATTTATGTCTAAATTTTCTTAAACTAGGTTTAATATCTGTTCCTGCCACCCGCAACCATAAACTAGACAAATGTGCCATGACTGGTAGATCTTTTTGAAAGACAGGTGGTACCATAAACTAGACAAAGGTGTTAAATTTTCTATTTGTCGTTTTATTATTTCTTATAATTTTTTGTTCTCTATTCTATTATTTTATATGTGGTCCTTAGCAAGAACACTGAAAAAGGAGATTCCAAAACTTTAAATTATATAAAATAAGTATGCCTCTTAATCTTAAATTTATGAGCTTTCTTCTTTCAAATCCAAAAAACTTGGGTCTTAATGGGAATTTTGGATTGAGATAAAAAAAATTCATCTTTTTTATTATATCCTAAAAAGTTGTGTTATTCTATGGTTATTAAATATAATTTAAATCTCTTTACTATTAAATTATAATGAAATTCGAAAGCGTTACTTAAAAATATGAGATTTATGATATTGATTTTTGGGAACTTGCAGTTAATTTAACTTTATACTTATGGGATATAATTTATCTATTGAAGACATTTTTTAAAATTTGTTATTCCGGTTGATGTAATTCCCTCATTAAAGATGTTATCTTACTTATGTATATTTTGTTTTTAATATACAGAAAAGACGTAATTTTCTAGTAAAAATAATTTTACTTGTGTTGTTATAATAAAAAGGTGATTCCTTATTTAATTAAAATGCTAATTATGTTTGTTTTTTTTATACAAATAAAATATACCTATTAGTTTACCCGAATAAACTCAAAAAAATCGAATAAACGTTCCTAACAAATTCCGTATTAGTCATTACAAGGTATACATTAAAAGAAATTGTGGCACCCGCCATCTTCAAATCCTAAATTCGCCTTTGTCCCAAACCACTGAAATTACTTATTCACTTCTTTTTAAGTTTTTTTTTTTTCCCTACCTTTGCACCTAGAGGATTAGGGGAGGAAGATTTAGAGGAAGCAGATATTAGAATTAAATCAACATCTATCGGCATTCTAATTTCCAAAAATTGTCTTTTGTAATATGAGTACCAAAAAGATTTATATATTCAATCACAAGAACAATCACCCATGCACAGAGTGCACTATACAAATAGGCCATGCAACTCATTTTCGTTAAAAGCTAATCACATGACCTATCCACGAATTGTGACTTGTTAGCCCATCTAATTAATGTTATGGAGTTTTAAATTCGACAAATGAAATTCCTCAGTGAAATTTTTCAAAAAAAGTACTTTTTTTTTTCAAGGTTGAGGTGTTTTGCCAAGCTTTTAGAGAGAAAAAAGTGCTTTTGGGTAAAAGAAGAAATAATTTTAGAGAAGCAGAAATAATTTTAGAGAAGCAGAAAAAAGTAGCTTCTCCCAGAAACACTTTTTTGAAAAGCACTTTTGAAAAAAATGCAATTAAAAATATTTTTTAAAAGCTTGGCCAAACAATAAGTGCTTTTTAAAGTAATTAGTCAAGCACAAACTATTTTTCACAAAAAAATACTTTTAAAAGAGCACTTCTCAAAAAATGCTGACCTTTGAATAACTTATTTCTCAAAAGTGTTTTTCAAAAAAAATATTTTTGAAAAAAACTACATTATTTTATGATTCTCAAAAACAACTTCTGCTTTTACTTAAAATATATTTTTTTTCCTTCTAAAAGTTTGACCCAACACTTTTGCTTTAAAAAAAATACTTTTGACCAAACCAAAAATATTTGGCCAGAAAAAATGTTTGGCCGAACAAACTATAAGTCCTAGTATAGAAAATTGTCATGGTTCATTTCATGGGTACTAGAATGTGTGACAACTGCGAATTATTCTATCTTGGTCAATGGTGAGCCAACAGTTCCTTTCAATGCAGCTAAAGGACTCAGGCAATGAGATCTGATTTCTCCTTTACTATTTGCAATAGCCATGGAATATCTTAGTAGGATGCTTAATGAAGTGAAAGGAAGTAAAAGATTCAAATATCACCCAAAGTGCTCTAAGTTATCAATAACTCATCTGTCCTTTGCAGATGATCTTTTGCTATTTTCAAGAGGTGATATTGAATCTGTGGCTACTATTAGAAGACGTTTCATGGAGTTCTCTGAGGCCTCAGGTCTTCAAGCCAACAAAGATAAAAGATCCATTTATTTTGGATGAGTTACTAAAGAGGTTTAAAATCAAATACTGCAATTACTAGAATTCACTAAAGGTGACCTACCATTCAGATATTTAGAGATACCTTTAGCTACAAAGAAGATATCCCTAATACAGTGGCAACCTTTGATCAACAACATGATATCTAGAATTACTGCTTGGACTGCCAAGAAGCTCTCATACGCAGGAAGGGCCCAGCTAATTCAAACAGTATTGTTTGGTATTCAGGCATATTGGTCACAAATATTTGCTATTCCCTCAAAAGTATTAAATGCAATTGAGGCTTACTGTCGAAGCTATTTATGGTCTAGTACCAATACAATTACGAGAAAAGCTCTGTTAGCATGGGAGAAAGTGTGCACTCCAAAATTAATGGGTAGATTAGGATTGATAAATATAAGACTATGGAATAAGGCAACAATAATTAAAGCTAACTGGGACATTGAACATAAGGTGGACAGACCGTGGATCAGATGAGTACACTATTACTATATTAAGTACCAACAGTTTGATCAAATGGTCATACCTATGCATGCAGGATGGATGGTGAGGAGAATCTTTGAAGCAGGAAGATCTGTGACATTGGTTCAACACAACAACAAAAACAACTTAATCAAGAAGATTTACCTTCAACTAATTGGCAACAATGAGAGGATACCATGGAAGACACTAAGGTTTGGGAATGATGCTCGACCAAAAGCCCAGTTCACAATGTGGCTAAGATGCAAGGGAAATTACTAACAGTGGATAGAATTGCTGCTGGGGGCATAAGTGTGGATCTTGTATTCAAATTGTGCAATAGGCATAATTAAACAAGGAGCCATTTATTCATGGAATGTCCTTATTCTATGAAAATCTGGGAAGGGGTACTAAAATGGATGAAGGTTCAGCATTTCAAAATAGCACAATGAGAGCAGATGGAGAACTGGATCATTGAAAGAGCAAAAGGCAGAACAAAAAGAGCTCAAGTGTTCAAGATGGCATATACAGAATGGGTGTATGCAATATAGATAGAAAGAAATCAACGCTGATTTGAAGGCAGATCAAAGAATTCAAGTCAACTGGTGAGGGAAATTGATTATGTGTGTAGTGTTCGAGCATCAGCCAGAATCAAAGATTGGATTCACCAGCTTAGAGTTAGTTAATTTGATAGTATGTATTTTAGTCGTTTGTAAGTACTAACAGATAGTAAATTGTGATGTAGTCTACTATAGAACTTATATGTAATCATTTTGGTGATTAATAAAAAAATTTAATTACCAAAAACAAATGTCATGCATAATGGCCGGGCTGACTATGGTTTATGGACAACGACGTGAATGGTGGAGTTTCTTTTGTTTTTTGTACATAAAAGGGAAGAAAGATGCAAGTTATAATTTATTTCCCTCTGTTATTTTCTTTTTCAAAATTTTTGGTAAAATACGTAAGCAGATGCTCGTGTGAAAATCCTTTACTTAGTCTTAGTGCCAAGTGCATCAAATAATCTAATGTTAGATATCATATCACTTCCCTTAAAAGGAAGAAAGCGACTTATATCAGTGTGATAGAGATCTTACTAAAATAAAGTTGCTTTAGCTATAAGGATATATTACATTTGATATTAACTTTTTTTTCAGAATACAACAAAGTGACAAGTTCTTCTTTTTTATGATTTTCATGAAATTCCTTGACCACAACATGGTCCGATCTTATCCCCTTGGTTCTAAAGTGTGGTCCTTGGCTGATTTTAATTAGATTTGCTGGCATGCATGAGTCTTGTGGTTTATTGACGAAGACACTTACCCTCATGTTCCACTTTTAATGTCTATTGGACCCGGAGGTGGACCTATGTATAGATAGGAGGGGTGAACGGACCTCGTTAACTTCAACAAATTAAAATGCTAAATATATATGTGTATTAATATTGAAAACGGTCGTAATATTTAAGATCAAAAGTCCGATAGACATTGATACTTGAACTGTCCGCTCATGTGCCTTGCTATATACTTTCAAATCGTGAGTCTGCCACAAAT